TGTGTGTGTGTGTGTGTGTGTGTGTGTGTGTGTGTGTGTCGGAATTGGCGGGTGGGTAGTGCATGGTGTGGCTGCCCCTCTGGATGGGAAGCTTGAGAATTGGCATGCTTGGAACATGCACCAATCACATACTGCTGAGACCAAGGCGAGGAGTTGAGAATAGGTATGCTTGGTGCATATCACAAACTCGCAGCACTGTCACTGAGAAGGGGGGAAGGAAATACCTATTGAGGTGAATAGAACAGTTTATATGCCACAGAGCTTTCTCCATGGCGTGTTCTCATTCAGCTGAGAACATCTCATTGAGATGAATGGGCCACTTCACATCTCTCTGAGCTTCCTATGCTGCCGATGGATGTGTAGAGCCCATTCCCCACACACTAGGCCCAGATCCACAGGGCTTGTTTCTTTCCTCTCTCTCTCTCCCTGCTTACAGCTGATATGGGCACTTCTCAGACACACTACCTTCCCACTTCCCTAGGGCCAGGGGCATGGAGAAGGGTGAAGTTGCTGTGTTGGGGAGGAGGGGAAAGGGCAATAGGGGGATGGGTTTCAAAGCAGTAGGACGTGAGGAGCTGAGGTCAGAACAATGGGTATGATGGAGGGAATGTTGGAGCAGTGGTAGGGAGTCTGAGCATTATCTCAAGAGTATCTTGTGCCCTTCTAGAAAACAGAGTTCAGCAAAACTGTAACTTCTGAAACCAGGGAATATAGAATTAATGTGCATGCCAGCACAATCTTAACTCTGCTGCCCTGGAGCTGGCAGTAGCCAATGGGAATTATCTACATGCACTCGAGCTGTGTTCACTATGTTAAGTGTAGCTGTACTGAATGTTTGGAGGATTGGTTGGAGCAGTATGGCAGAGCTGTGATTGTGATGTGAGATCTGGGGACTTCACCCCTCTCCTTGTCCGCCTTTGTGTGTGAAGAAAGGAAAGAGGTGCATGTGTACCTATTGAGATCCAATATGCTCCTTTTAGCAGTGAGTTCGGAAAGCTGTGTTACTGTGCACTAGGGTCTTATTGCTATGGGGATTGTCCACAGTGAGGCAGGATACGAGTGGTCTGTGGTTTAATGAGGGGGTAAGTGAAAGCATGGTGTTAAATGGCATCCTGTGCATAAGAGTGAAAGGGTTTGTAAAAGGGATTGAAATTGTAAAATTCAGCAGCAGGGGTATTTCTGTGGAGTGGGCTTAAATGTAGGTAGCTCCTGTTCAGTACAGTTCTGTCCTACATTGGTCATGTGCCTATTCCCTGAACATTCTACAGTGTCTGCAAAGGCAGTGTGCAAATATTTTGAGGGGGGAGGGATAGCTCAGTGGTTTAAGCATTGGCCTGCTAAACCCAGGGTTGTGAGTTCAATCCTTGAGGGGGCCACTTAGGGATCTGGGGCAAAATCAGTACTTGGTCCTGCTACTGAAGGCAAGGAGCTGGACTCGATGACCTTTCAGGGTCCCTTCCCGTTCTAGGAGACAGGTATATCTCCATATATTATTATTATGAGCATTATGAGCATTATGGATGTATTTGGTCATTGCTCAGAGTGTAGAGTTAAGGTTGCATTGGCATATATGTTAATTCTGTATTTCCTGGTTTGCTGACTTCAATGTTCTGGAAAGGCACGTGGTACCACTGGGTAATCTTGACTCTGTTAATTAAGTTTTTGTCAATGAATACATACACAGAAAAGAGGATCAGAATAAATAATTGTGCTATGACACTAGCTTGCCAGAACTTCCACAGACAACAGTGCATATACAGTGAACCTCTGATGTACGCAGTGGATAGTGAAAAGTTTTGAGAGTTAAGTCTGGTTTTAAAAAGTCCATCTCTTTAAACTGTCAGTTTAATATTAACAGCATTATTTTTATACTTCCTTTTCCGTTCAGGTTTAAAAAACGAATGCTGATAGAACAGCTTGAGGGTTTTCTGGAAGAAATCCATCGCAGATCTAACCAAGTCAACCATATCAACAGCAGCTAAGAGATGTTTTACACATAGAAAAGCCACAACAGGGCACAGCTGTATTACCTGCATTCATTTTTGACATGCACTCTTGGCTCAAGTCCCCTATCTGAAAGACTAAAAGCTGCTCTCTAGTATGATGGAAAAAGTATATGTAATCTTTTTCTTCATTTCTGTTATTTTTGTAATGTGAAAAATATCACTAAAAGCATTTTTATTTAACAAACTAAAAATAGAGAATTTCTTGCTTGTCATTGACTTAAATGTCACTTTCCCTCAGGTTCTATTTTCTTAACCCAACCTTCAAAACTATCATCTCTGTTAAGGTTGAACTTTGCCAAAAAAAAAAAAAAAAAAAAAAAAAAAAGTTGCTTTGTAATTTTCAAAAAAAGCACATACATTAAACAAGGTAATGTTTTGTATATACAGTTATTTTGGATATATTATTGTAAGTTGTACAAATGTATTTTGAAAAATATTTAAGAAAAGCACTTTTGTTATTCCATCAATAAAAAAAACCCTCTATTTTAATCTTTGGTGGTTAGGAATGAGTACGGTTTTCATTGAAGTGGCTCATTTCTCTCCTCCCCTTTTTAGATCTACGCAGTTTTATTGTCAGTTTTGAGAAACCAGCTACAATTTTAAGCCTCGTTGGAAATGCTGATTCTTTGGTTCTCAGAATAAGATATAAATTACGAAAAGAAACTAAGAAAGCTGCTATTTGACTGCATTGTTATGGTGATAAGTTGGCATAGCATCATGTATTCTAAGTCTTATTTTTACTGAACAGCATCACAGATCTTATGTACGGTATGCACACCAGAAAAATGGCAAAATGTGGGATTTAAGTTTTCTTTGAGATTTAACAATCTTTCCAATTACGCCAACCTCATCCCTTGCTCCTTAACGAGGCTGCTTGTGTGCCTAACCCTCTCTCCCTTCCCAGGCCCTGCACTGTAAAGTAAAAGATTTTTTTTTAATGTAAAGTCTGCATTGGAAGTAGTGTATGTGGTGGTACTGATACACTTGTTTAGGTGAGTAGACACTCAGGCTATGTTTACTGCAAGTGAAGGTGTGAGTGTAGCACGGGTATGCCTATCTGTGCTGTTAGCTTTAATTTAGTTAGACTGGGTGACAACAGTAGTGTAGACATGGTGGCTCAGATTAGCAACCCAAGTCCATAGTCAGAGTCCCCAGTGGGCTTGTACTCTGCTGTCCTGGTGCCAATTCCTTAAAGACTGTCTCTCAGCTGGATTATTTCTCATGGCTGCACTTCAGGCTGCTTGTTTACCTCACCACTTCAGCTTGGTAATGTAACTGATTCTGGAACCTAATTCAGTTTTTAATTTTTTGTTTAAAACTTCAGTTTCAGGAGCAGAAAATAAACCACCACTTGAAAAATAGCAGATAATGTAAAGCTTTGTGGTGGGTTGGTATTGCCTCCTCTCAGCTGACTCAGTCTTGTGAGCAAAGAACACAAATAACTGTAATACATTCTGTTGGTTTTACCCAGTCTCCTGTTACCTTGTGATGCCAACCATTTTTTTAAAAGAGTAAAAGATGCTTTTATACAGCTACAAAATAAAAGCACTCTACACAAAATGCAAAAGTAATACATTTTATTTACAAAGTTATTTGGTTAACATTTATCCGCTCTTCCTTGTGGATTTTTTTGCGAAATAATTTTAAGTATCCAGTTTTTAATAAATATGCACAGTGTGCCTCAATTTCATTGAAGGAAAGATGGCTGCAGAAGGAATAAGGGGAGGGTGCATTGGACACACTTATTCTGAAGGATTTGTAACTCTTCCTATAAAAAGCACTGAGCCTGTGAATTAAAATAAACACTTCATTAAAATTGCGCACACAATCAATTATGGCCTAACTTTCAAAAGGCGTATACATGTAATTGTGTACCTAATTTGTACATGCAACTGGTAGGTTAACTGTCAGACGGTCACATACATGCAAATACTGGTTTTGTGGGTCCAATTGCAGTAACTGTTGCATTTTTAAAAGTCTGTGAAATCAGTTAAGGGCCAGGTTAACTTGTAATTTTGCACGTTAGATTCAGTTGCTTATTAAAGGGTTGGCAGCTGAACAAGGAGCTTCCTTATCTTATCTTCCTAGCCTTTGGCCTAAATATTGGCCAAAATGAAAATGGCTTTGAACTTGACCAAGTAGTAATGGGTCAAATTCATTCCTATGTATATGTACTAGAGTTACAGCAGAGATGAATTTGGCCCATTGGCTTACTGCCTCATTAGATTCAGTAATTAACCTATGCTTTAAATCACTTACGATATCATCCCATTTCAGTTTATCAGCTTGTCTTTTTTCTCTAGACAGAGATGTTCTGAAGTTGAATTTCAGAGAAAAGTGATGCTCTTAATTGTATCATACTTGGGACAGAGGCTATATTTTCCACAGTATTTGTAAAGTGCCTAGCACATTGCAGAATATAACTATTGGGGGGGAGAGTTCCTGGGCTTTTGTTCTGTAGTGAGACCTATTGTTAACTTGCAGGTGGTAGGAGTTTGGAGCTTGCTGCCCCCCAAATAAGCCAAACATTAAACATCAGTATTTTTAATAGTAGCTTTATTTATTCTTTTCCCCTCCCCAAAGACAGACTTCTACCAAAAGCAATTGTATATTTTTACACTTTTTTGATGATAAATAGAAGAAAAAAATGTGATTTGCTATGCTATGACTGTTTCTGATGCTATTCTGATTAGAATGCTGTTTGGTGTTTTCTTTCTTGCTCCACTTGATTTCTCTAAATTTGTATTTTACAGTCTAATTTTCATCCTATTAAGTGCATAGTTGAGTATAGTAAGTTTAAATTTTTTTGTTCAATTTGCTTACTAAAGCCACTTTTAATACTTACAAGTAGCAACTTTCTTGCTTGTCTCGGCAAGAGACCAAGCCGTGACAGGACAGATTAGGCTCCATGCCTCTCCAAATAAGGAGATGCTTAGATTTGAGGCATAGGGGCAGGACAGGGGAGGAGAAACTTGCATTGCCCCTGCATGTGCTTTACCTTTCCATTCTTCAGATAAATGGATGTTAGTCCCCAGGGCCATCAGAGTGCCTTTGGGCACTAAATTTATGCCAAAGAAAAGTCTAACTGAATTCCCATGATTGTCAGTTTTTCTGCTTCCACTGTTTGTAGTTGAAAATTTATTCTACAGATTATATTTTTAAAGGAGTTTTATGGAAATTGAAGTCATTTTAGAGAATAGCTCCTTATTTATTTATGGGAAACACTAGTAAGATTTTTTTTACTATTAGGTGAGTGACTCCTCTACTGAATAAATGAATTATGCGTACCTGTATTAGCGTGCCTTAGGAAAAAGATAAAAGGTCTGTCTGCTTTGAAAATAGGAGTTCGAGATCTTTTTAATAGCACCATAGCTGCAATGCAAGAGAGAGAAAACATTCACGTGTCAGTTTGTTTTGCCTTCGCTTCGACAGAGCACCCTCCTAAAACACTGAGATTTTTACTACCCTAACCACCAAATTATTCATCTGCCCTTACTGTGATAAAAATATATGTAATGTTTGTTTAACCCAGCAGAAAAAAATCTCCCCAAGTGAATGAGCAAGTAAATTTGCAAGGATGCATTACATAGGTAATGCAGTGCTGTCTGCTCACTGAGTAATTACGCCTGCTTGCCTTTGAGTTTTAAGACTCACCACTGATATTTTTTTTCATTGATAGTACTAATGCCTGGTCAAGACACGACTGCACCACTTGCCCTGTTCATAACCATCTATGCATAGAGACAGAGTTTACAGTAAGTTGACAAATGACACAAATTATCCCCCTTTTGCAGATGGGAAAAACAGGCACAGAGAGATGAAGTGATCAGCCTGAGATCACACCGGAAGCTTATGGCAGACTCCTGAATTGAACCTTAATCTCCTGAATCCCAATGCAGTGTCTGAACTATAAGACTGCTACCTCTCTGCAGTTATTTTCTTACTATTTAACTTACATTTTTAAAGTTATAAAAATAAAAACCCTGTTTAAATATTGCTAGGGCTGTCAATTGCAGTTAACTCATGTGATTAACTCAAAAAAATTAATTGTGATTAATCGCACTGTTAAACAATAGAATGCCAATTGAAATTTATTAAATATTTTGGATGTTTTTCTACACTTTCAAATATATTGATTTCTATTACAACACAGAATACAGTATACAGTACTCACTTTATAGTATTTTTATTACAAATATTTTCCCTGTAAAAATGAAATAGTATTTTTCAATTCACCTCATACAAGTACTATAGTGCAATATCTGTATCATGAAAGTGTAACTTTGTTTTGTTTTTGAGTGCAGTTATGTAACAATGTAAAACTTTAGAGCCTACACCTCCACTCAGGTCCTACTTCTTGTTCAACCAATTGCTAAGAAAAACAAGTTTGTTTACATTTATGGGAGATGCTGCTGCCTGCTTCTATTTACGTCACCTGAAAGTGAGAACAGGCGTCTGCATGGCACTTTGGTAGTGGGCATTGCAAGGTATTTACGTTCCAGATATGCTAAATATTCATATGCCCTTTCATGCTTCAGCCACCATTCTGATGCTTGTTTAAAAAAAATGCATTAATTAAATTTGTGACTGAACTTGGGGGAGAATTGTATATCTCCTGTTCTGTTTTACCCACATTCTGACACATATTTCATGTTATAGCAGTCTCGGATAATGACCCAGAACACTTTCACTGCAGATTTGACAAAACGCAAAGAAGGTACTAATGTGAGATTTCTAAAAATAGCTATAGCACTCGACCCAAGGTTTAAGAATCTGAAGTGCCGTCCAGAATCTGAGAGGGACGAGGTGTGGGGAATGCTTTCAGAAGTCTTAAAAGAGCAACATTCAGATGCGGAAACTACAGAACCCAAAACACCAAAAAAGAAAAATCAACCACCTGCTGGTGGCATGACTGAGATGATGAAAACGAACATGCGTTGGTCCGCTCTGCTTTGGATCATTATTGAGCAGAACCCATCATCATCATGGACGCATGTCCTCTGGAATGGTGTTGAAGCATGAAGGGACATATGAATTTTTAGTGCATCTAGCACGTAAATATCTTGCAATATCTGGCTACAATAGTGCCATGCGAACGCTTGTTCTCACTTTCAAGTGACATTGTAAACAAGAAGCAGACAGCATTATCTCCTGCAAATTGTAACCAACTTTGTTTGTCTGAGTGATTGGCTGACCAAGAAGTAGGACTGAGTGGACTTGTAGGCTCTAAAGCAGGGGTGGGCAAACAATGGCCCAGGGGCTGTATCCGGCCCTTCAGACATTTTAATCTGGCCCTCGAGCTCCCGCTGGCGAGCAGGGTTGGAGGCTTGCCCTGCTCTGGCACTCCAGCCAGGGAGCAGGGTTGGGGGCTTGTCTGCTCCACACATGCCATGACTCTGCATGGCTCCCAGAAGCAGGGGCATGTCCCTCCACTGGCTGCCCCTGCCCCAAGCACTGCCCCACAACTCCCATTGCCTGGGAACTACAGC